CCCCCTCCATTCCTGAGATCAGGAGGTGTGGCTGGGCCGTGGTGCAGTTCGCCGCGTAGGGCATTCCGATCAGAGCTGCTGCTGGCCCGTTAAATGGGTTGCTGCAGACGGTTGGGAGATCAGGGAGACATGCGCTGATGAGACTTGGGCCAAACCTGCAATGCGTTTTCACGGACCTGCTTGCGCTGGAGGCGGAGGCGAATTCCTGGGGCCCTGAGTTGGAGTCAGCTTCGGCGGTCCATGCCACGATTTGGCGCAGTCTCAGGTCGCAGTCAGTCAGACGCGCAGTCATCTGGATTTCTGCGCACAAGGACGTGGGCGACTACCTCGACAAATGCCTAAGCCCGCTGCTCTACTTGGGCAATCTGTGGGCCGACTGGTTCGCTCGACGAGGAGCTGAGGTACATGCGGCGCCGAAGGTCGTTGAGGAGTACTGCGAGCTCGAGATGAATTTCGCCAAGCGCGCGTCGGCCTACATTGGTTGGGTGATGCAGCGTGCCATGCGCACTGGCAAGTGGAGGCCTCGGTGCCAAGATGTGATGCCCAAGCCGGTGGGGGCGCGCATCGTGCCAGTGCAGGTGGCCTCGCATGAGGTTGCGAAGTTATCGGGTGGCTCTTTCGTATGCAGACAATGCGCCAGACGTGCAGCGGGCAACTCAAAGGCGCCCTGGAACCCATTTCCCAGGGCGCCGTGTCAGCCGTCGCGCCTCGATGCTCTACGGGCTGAGGCTATGGTGGAATTCGGTGGCGGCGCAGCATTTCGGGTCTCCGAGGCGGGCAGGTGCGTGATGGAGGCGCTGGGCGCGGCTGTCATTCCCGAGGGCGCTGGCGACGTCGGCGCATTTCTTGCGTCCGACTGGGCAGGAGCTGAAGTCATTCAATGCAATGGGCATCCTCCGGCGTGCAGGGCCTACGGTGTTCTGCGAAGTTTATGCTGCCTGGTCAGCGGGAGGTGCATCCAAGCAATTACTGGCGGAGTGTTGTGTTATACCGAGTGGCGAAGGCAAGGGCAAAACGTTCATTTCGAATATTGTCTCGAGAAGAAGGCACTTATTGAAGGGTATGCATCCCAGGGGCAACGTCGAGCTCACCTTGCCCGCTGTTCCCCAAGGAGGGTTGGCAAAAGTATTTACTGCGCCGGCCTGATGGACGTCTTCTGCGTGTGCGCACTGGCCCCAGGAGGGCGACCCGTGAGGGCGTTCTGGCCAGTCGTTGGCGACGACTGCGCTTGCCTCTCCGAAGGCCAGGTTTCTCGCCCAATTGGCCTAAGGGGAGCGACCCAGGAGGGTGTTCTGGCCACTTGTTGGTGACAGGTGCGCTTGCCTCTCATGGCTCCTTTCCCAGCAGAAGCGACCCGTGGGGGTATTCTGGCCACCTGTTGGTGATGGGTGCGCTTGCCTTCGGCTGGGATCGGGCCTTGGACATCGGTTTCGCGCTACTAAGATGTGGGGGCGGTCTGCCCCTGTGACGTTGGGATGGTGGGCGCTATATGGATGGAGTTTTTGGTGGCTGCCTTCGCTGGCGTTGCATGGCGAGATGGTGGTCGTGACAACTGGGCGGTGAGTGCTAATGGCCTGTCTGGCCCTGCTGGGGGCAGGCCCTACTGGATGATGGTGCTATATCGTTGGCCCGTCTGGCCCAGCTTGGAGACGGGCCACAGTGAGGGTTTCAGTGGCGTCTGCGGATACGTGAGGACACGGACGTGGTCCTCGTTGGCGCGCCGACGGTGTTTGATCGTTGGTTCTGTTTTTGGCTGCGGGTCCTCAGGCGCCCTGCGAGGATCGGCAGCCGCTACATATCGCCCGCTGATCCCCAAGGGAGAGCGGGGGCGTCGTCGGAGGCTATTTGGGCGGCATGTCTGGCCCCCCTCGGCGACGCCTCTTTCGTGGCAGCCATGCTCTACGTCTTCATGGTGGGCATCGGCTTCTTTATAGCCCGCGTGGCTCCCAGCATGGGAGAGCGGGGGCGTCGCCGCCTGCTGCGCGGATGGCCCGTCTGGCCCTTCCTGGGGGCGGGCCCGCGCTGGAGCTGGTGGCGGGCGCCTTCTCCGTCCTCGCCTGAGGACGCGGCCGCCCTGGCCGTCCCGCCTGCTGTTCGTCTCGACGGACGGCTGCGCCAGGCCTCGTCCCCCGTCCCCCTCCTCCCCCTTCTCCTCCTCGTCCTCCTCCTCCTCCTTCTCCTCCTCCTCCTCCTCCTCCTCTTCCTCCGCGAACCCGGCGCTTCGGCGGGGGGGCTCAGGGGGCCGATCATGGCATCCGTCGGGCAGGAGATCGGATTTACCTCAAAGTCTAGATTTTCGTTGAACCCGCGAGCGAAAAGTGGATAATTTCTGTAGATCAAACGATAATTCACATTTTCTTGCACATAGTATGAGAAGATATTGTTGGGGTGCGTCAAATATGTAGCCGATCTTCTACTCGAGTTCAAGATGGCTCAAGACACCTCAAGGTGGCTCAGGGTGGTTTTCAGCTTGTTCCACAAGGTCCCACGACCGCCCCAAGACGGCTCCAAGTTGCCTCGGAGCCTCCCAAAACGCCCCCGAGAATCCAACATGTTTGCAAAACGTATGGGGACACAATGTGCTTTGCTTTGTTTTTTTGACTTTCAGGTTCGCCTGTGAGGCTTCAGATATGGCCCCAAAACGGCCCAAGGGAACCCCACGAGGGGCCCAAGAGGCCCTTGGCTGGCCTTCGTTGTATATATTATAGTATAGGTTAATCTGTTCTACCACTATATTATATGATATTCGCGAACATCCAGTTATAGCATATGATATGTTCTACAATGCCATCTAACATTTTTATATGATATTGTTCTGCATCGTAGTATGTCATATCATGGTGCAGAACGGCACATTTTATTGTAGTATACCTTGATATTACATTCCATTCCTATATTCCACCATTGAATAAAACATGTTATATCGTATTATTTATAGCATATCATATTGTAGCATACTGCGTGATACTTCATCACACGTTGCTTGGTGTATCCAAGTTTTTTTTTTCCAAACAACATATACTTTATATATATATAACAAAGATCTATATTATATTCCATAGTTAATGAATTCTAGCTAATGGTTCTACGTTTTGTGCCAGCATCGTGTACTATATTGCGTTGCGTCATATCATGTCCCATTACATTATATTAAATTATACGGTGGTATATCGTTTTTTTATGATATGTTGCTACAGTGTATCACATTATCTTATATTATACAGTATCTCACGGATCAGGCTGTACACATTTGTTCATATCAAGGAAATTACGTTATATGTTCTTTCGCTTGATTGCATTATATACCACCACAGTTTATATGGTTTTTTTTTTTTTGTACTGTTGTATTGTAGCATCTACCGGTGTACTATATGCCGTATCTGATTTTTATATTCTGCCATATTGGAGTATATGACAATGAAGCACATTACGTGTCCGAACCTGTTACATTGCCACAGGTTAATACATTTTAATTACAATATTCGTTATTGCATGACACTCCGGTACATTATAGCATCATCCTTTACTATTGATTTTGGTAGGTTGCATTTGTATTATATCATTGTACAATATAGCTCACTGTATACTAGTATACCATATTGTAGTAAAGCTATGGCAGTATATTATAGTAAAGTATCTCGTTCCACATTGTTTATGGTTGTATTGTACGCTATGATAGTACTTAGTATTCTTACCATATCAGATTTCAGCATACAGTATCGAGACACATTATCATATACTATATCGTATACCATTTTATTAAACCATGTTGTTTTACAATTCATAGTATATGATCGTACATAATATTTTATGATAATACATTCTGGTTTTACACAGTTTGTTATGTTATCTGTCCAGACGTGCACACACATCTAAGGGCGCAGCAGGTCGAGGGGCGCGGGGCCGGGCCCCCGACCACCAGTGTGGGGCCCTGGGCCCCGAGCGAGCCCCCCCCGGGAGGGCCCGGAGAGGGGGCCCGAGGAGAGTCAAAGCCAGCGGCCACGACCCAGCGGAGCGAAGGTGCTGCCAGAAGATGCTCTTATATCGGCGGTGCAAAGATAGGGGGGGATGGGCATAAGGGGGGGATGCATCGACCCCCAATCGCCCACTGATCACCGAAAGGGGCCCTATAGCCCCGACCTGCCCTGGAAGGTGCGGATGCACTATCGGAGGCCTATCGCCGCTTTATCGGCGATGTGTCGCCGATCCCAGGTCGACGCATCCTCGCCTATGCCAGTCGCCCCTCCCTATCGTTGCCTCTCATCATAGATGGCTTCAAGAGGCCCGAAGAATTGCTGACTTTCCTTAAGTTGCTGCAGGTTCTAACGTAGGTTTTCGCTGTGTTGGCATTGCCAGGTTTTCGGCGTGCCAAAGACGAGGTGCTTGCAGACAGCCCAGGAACGGCACTTGGGAGGTGCTTGCCCGAGAGAAGCTGGAAACTGCCACAGGACGTCCCAAAGAAGACCCTGGAGGACCCCAAAGCGGCCCGAGAGGATACCAAGACGGCTCGAGAGGGCCTTCAATCGGCCCCAGGAAGGGCCAAAGAGAGGGAGCACGAACGAACTTTTCGAGGTTTCCGCCCCAAGGTGCTCCCAGATCGCCTCAAGAGGTCTAGCAGAGGCCCAAGAGAGGGCCCAACAAGCCTCCGGAGGCGACTCTGAGGCAACCCCAGCAAGCGAACAACTGCTTTTTTCCGTTGGTTTTTGAGCGTCTTCGTCGTATTCGAATTGCCATGTTTTCGGCGCCGAGCAGTACCATTCTCCTGCTGCAGCAGGTGTTCATTGTCCTACTGTTGTTCCCGTTGCCGCTCCTACCGCTACGCGTACTCGTACTCCCTCCCATCTTCCTGCTCCTGCTCATTCCTTTCTTTTCGAACGTATCCATGTGCCTGCCGCAAATCCGGGACCGTGCCAGCGCAAAACTCTGCATGGTGAACCGTCCAGCACCGCCCAGGAGGCCGTCACATGTAACACCTCTCATCTCCACACATTGCGTCAAGAGTTCAATCCGCTTGCGTTCGGGCTCAAGAGGCACGCCCGGGCATACGCCACAGTAGCGGCCTGAGCCCAACGGCGCGATCGTGTTCGGCAAAGCCATGTCAGACGGACATGCGTGGCTTATCATTTTCAATGTTGTCGCAGGCGTTGTCATTGTCTGGCGGATATGCGCTTCTTGTCGAGACAGGCCCTTGCCGCTATGGAGCTCAGCATTTCATTCGCTTAAGTATGCGATTCGACGGGCTCTCAGCATGTCACCAGCACAGCCGCTTGATCGACATTTGAAGGGTATGGCGGACAAGCGAATCCAAGAGCAACTTGTGTGGTTGTGCCCGAGGTCGCTTTTCGCAGCCGTCTGCTATAACTCGTTTCAACTAATTCAGAACGAAGCGTCCCCGCCTTCGCACAAGGTAAACTTAGCACTCGCAATTTTCGCTATCGTGGGTACAGTAAAACCGCAGTGGATGACCCCAAGAATCTTCTTGGCTTTCCACTTCGTGGTGTACGACGCCCTTCTCTTTCTTGCGATAACTGCCAGCTCCAGAATGGAATTCTTGAGTACGAACCGCGCAAGGATCTGCTTTCGTGTCATGTTGAGCCTAATAGAAGCGAGGCCCCGTGTTTCGTTGTTCTTGGGTATTGTGTACAGTACAGCTATTTCTCCATGGTACGAGCCTGTTGACGCACGTCAGGAGCTGTTTGTATCGCTGTGGGTTAGCCTCTCAGCAGCCGTTGTCGCATTGGCCCGCGATGCTGAGTTTTTGGCAACTCTGGAGGCAAAAGCATCGCGAAACTTCGAGTCTACAGCGGACGGGCTCCTGTCGACCATGTGCGATGCAGTGGTGCATTTGTCAACGGATCTTTGTCTCTCAAAGCCATGCGGGCGCCTTGCCGCACTGCTTCTAAGACAGTCCACCGATATGGATTCGGGCGTTGATTTTGCAAATCTAGCTTTCGATGCTACCGAGAAAGCCCGTCTGATTCGGTTCTTGGAGCGGCCTGTGTCTGACACCTACAGCCTTCACGTGTCCTTCAGAGATGCACGGGATTCACCAGTAAAAGTCGAGCTATTTCACGTCCAGGGCGTTGACATACACGACAACCTGATCCACATCGTTGGTGTGAAAGACGATTCATCAGAGCCTCCAGCGGCGCGTCCGGGACGGCTACGCCACAGCCCAGATGCATCGCATTCGAATGCTGTCAATTGCAGCATCCCAGAGGATGATATACTCACTGACATTTCTGCCTCAGAGAGCGGCGTTTCTTCGGGTCTGCCGATCGATACCCCGTGCACTGAAATGGTTCTCCACATTGCCCCAGAAGAGGACGGCTTACCCATATTGCGATGCTCGCCCGATTTCTTGAGGTTGTGTGGACCAATACGTGAAGGCGCAGGGCTGTTACAGTGGGTCGTCAATAATCGCGCCTTCATGGACTGGGCGGGGACAACGTACGGCAATATGATACTTGGTCACGGCGGAGATGTTGTGCATGATGATATGGATGCACGGCCATTTCGTATCCGTCTCAGGCTGCCTCACATGGGCCCGACAGTCAGAGAAGTGCGTGCGTCCACAAGGTTCAGATTGGAAGAGTCAGGGGGTGACTGTAGCCGAGCGCCCCCTGCGGGAGGGATTATGTTGATTCTAGAGGATGTCGTCTTCGCAAAGAGGCTGCAATCAAGGAGTGAGCGTCGCAGTGGACGTCGGGCAGTGGGGACGCCGTCACAGCCGATGCTGTTGTCACTGTGATATTTTGCATATGAAGTGGAGGGACGATTCCTGCCAGCGTTTCCTGCGATGTTTGCTTCGAGCGAGCCCTTCTGATCGAGGGGCGCTTGGTTCAACCCGCCGCTCGGCTGGGGTGTGATGAAAGGCAACATGATATGCTACTGTCATGTTTGTATTCTACATGTGTGCAGTGAGGAGCAGGGGTTTGCCATCAATTCGTACAGTGTTCTCTTCGAGTGGGCCCTTACTATCGAGGGTCAACCCGCCACTCAGCTGGGGTGTATATAGATATTGGATCGGGCTCATTATATATCTTTATATATACACATGAGCATGTACACCTTTATACGTATATATATATATATGGTAGATATTATCGATTATATATATATACACACCGGGGAACGGGACCTGGGGCCGCCAGATTGGAGCCTCGGACCCCCATGGGGGCCACGGGGGGGGCCTGGAGCCTCCCTGGAGCAGCCCAGGCGGCCCAAGAGTGCCCCGAGAGCGCTCCACGACAGGCCCAGCAGGCCCCAAGAGGCCCAAGAGGGCGCCAAGAGGGCCCCAAGATACCCAAGATAAGCCCAAGACGGCCAAAGAGGCCCCCAAGACGCTCCAAGAGGCCTCCAAGAGGCCCCCCCCAGAGGGCCCCAAGAGACCAAAATCGTTCATTTTACGAAGGTTTTGGATACATTTGCCTTTCCCGCCTTTTCAGCTCTCCGACGGCCTCCAGGGGTCTCAGACGGCTTTTTCTTCAGGAGACGCTCAAGACAGCCCCAGAAGGCCCCAGGAAGCTCTCCAGGAGACCACGGACAAGCCAAAAACATTCGCACATACGCACCACACCTATAGAGGCTTAGTGGTTTGTACCTTGTTGTTTTTTTGCCTCCGATGGTCTGCTGAGGCCCCTAGATCCTCCCAAAGCAGCCCCAAGACGCCCCCACTTAGTGTGCAAGAGGCCCCACAACGCCCTAGCACGCCCTCAACGGGGACCCGAAATCGCTCCCTAGAGGGGCCGGACATCCATCAAGGCGACCCAAGAGAACCTCCAATCGAACCCAGACAGCTGTGACAAACCTCCGGTACTTCTCTCCTGGGCTCTCAAGAATGCCCTAGAAGGGCCTCAAGATGCCTCGGGACGCTTCCGAGACAGGTAAGAGAGCTCCAAGACAGCCCACGAGAGCCTCCAGACGTCCCAAGAAGTTCCCACCAGCGCACAAGAGAGCGCCAAGAGGCCTCCAAGGGGCCCCTGAGACCGCCGACGAGAGCGCCGAGGATTTCAAAACACATAAAGCAAAGTTATGACTTTTACCATCCCGCTTTTTCGCCTCCGATACCCTTCAGAGGCTGATGCATGACCCCCACGAGAACGCCAAGATGCCCTCCAAGGGCGCCCCAAGCAGCCCAAGAGGCCACAAGAGGCTCCCATCACGCCCCAAGAGGCACCCTCGATGCCCCAAAAAGGCCCCCAAGAGCTTTCGAAGAGCCCCCAGGAGGCGCTGAAGAAGCCTTCAAAAAGATTGGAGGATTTCAGCGCTCTCGCTTTTCTGAGCTCCCGACGGCTCAAGACGCCCACACACGGCCCCCAAACGGCCCAGTAACCCCGAAGAGAGCCCCAAGACGGCCCCAGAGGATCCCTCCACGGCCCAAGAGGCCCCGCGAAAGGGCCCAAGACGCCCCCAAGCGAGCCCCAGGAGCGGCAACACAGACGCCGATTCAGCCAGCCAAGCCCTAGGAGGCTTCTAGGAGTTCCCCAGGGGGCCCCAGCTGCCCCCCAAGAGGGCCCCGGCCCCCAAATTGCCCGTACAGATGCACACTTGGGGAACGTAACTGTCCCCTGTCCTCAGGTCTTTGATGACCTCAGCGAGGATACGAGACGTGGACTCTCGGTACTTGAGCATGCCGATACTCATGTATTATATCGCTCGGTAGGGGTCTTGCCTGTGCGGGTTTTCGCGGCTGTTTTTTGCGTAGCGCTTCACAGGCCCTCCACCGATCGCGGTTGTGGTTAGTGGTTCTCATTGCCGCGCAAATCCCAGCACGTGCCTTCGGGGATTGTTGCCCGCGCGTGAGATAATGACTCCAACTACTCAGGTGTTCACCGAATGTTTGCCCCGCCCTATCGTTGAACGCCTATGTGCCCCCGCAGGGCGAACGCTTAGGCTGCCTTGAGTGCCAGTTGGGCTCATGCCCAGGCTTTCCGGCACCCGCCCTTGCTGCATGTCGGCTGCCGCTGTCCCATCGCTGTCGTCGTCGTCGTCGTCGTCGTCGTCGTCGTCGTCGTCGTTTTGTCCGTCGTTGTCGTCGTCTTTGTCATGCTCTCTTTGAGGTCCTGGCCTCCACGCGCGGGCCTCGCCACTAGTCAGAGTCAGAGTTAGAGTCAGAGTCAGAGACGCAACGTAGCTGCCTTTTTTCCCCCTCCTCCTCCTCCTCCTGACCTTCTGAGCCTAGGGTCCTGGTTCAGCACTTGCTGTGTTTCACCTGCTTCTGGTCGCATGTTTGATTTTGTCGCAACGTGATTGCGGGGACGCCTCAAGGGCTTTCTGGACCCTTCCTCCCTCCTTCCCTGTCTCTACCCTCCTTCCTCCTCCTCCTCCTCCGCCTCCTTCCTCCTCCTCCTCCTCCTCCTCCTCCTCCTCCTCCTCCTCCTCCTCGTGGCCTCCCTCTGCGCATGGCGGGGGCGCGCGTCCGCGCCCCAGAGTGCTCTCGCCGCCCGCTGCGCCGCCTCCTCCCCTCGGCAGCGCAGCGCCCTCGCCTTTGCCCGCGCCCGCCCGCGAAGGCGGCCAGGCGCGGCCAGCTGAGGTCTCTCGTTCCCCCTGTCGGGGGAGCGTAAGACCCGGGTTTGCCGGGACTCGGGTTCGCCATCGTTTTTTGACGACCGCGACTCGGATTTTGACGAGGAGGAGTTTCGTGGGATGTCTGCAGCGGGAGGCCTCGTCAAAATGCAGGCTCGGCCTCGTCATTTTTTTGACGACCTCGTCGGGGATTTCCGAGTCCCCCGTACCCGGGTCTTACGTCTCCCCGACCCTGGGCCTGGGTCAGGGGCTGCGGCTCGCAGGCTGGAGCGGGCCCACTGTTCAGCATGGGGTGGCCAGACGAAGAGGCGTGGACGGTGCTCCTGTTGATGCCCCGCCGTCCTTGTAACAAAACACAGTACACGGTGCCCGCGGGCCTCGCGAACATGATTCAAGACTTTGCCCCAACATGTACTTTGTAGGTTTTTTGTCTGGGATGGCGGGGGGGGGGGCGCATCGGGTTGGTTGCGTATGCTCCGAATTTGGAGGCAGCCGTTTTTTTTGTTTGTTTTTGTTTTTGTTTTTGTTGTTGTTGTTGTTGTTGTTGTTGTTGTTGTTGTTGTGGTTGTGGTTGTTGTTGTTGTTGTTGTTGTTGTTGTTGTTGTTGTTGTTGTTGTTGTTGTTGAATATTATTACTTCTAAAGAAATATTATTGTTGAGACCCCTGGTGCGCGACCCCCCTCCAAAACCTAGGCCGCAGCCTCATTTCCTTCATTTTCTAGCGAAAGCTTCAGAAAAGTGGATTGTGTCCGGATCCGGTTGTTTTGTTGTAATCCGTTTTCCCTTGCAAAAAACACTATAAAATGAAAATTCTTGTTCTTACTTGATCAAATTGCAAGAATCCCTTGCAAAAAATAAGGTAAAGTGGACATTCGTGCGCGCAAGACGAAATCCTTCCAAAACCTTAGGTTTCGTAACGATTTTAACATAAAAACATCAAAAACCCAATGGTTTTTTAAGAAAAAATTGTCAAAATGTCCTTCCGCGCGCGCTGTCCGAATCCCACAAAACCAATGGTTTTTCAACATTTATGTTACATGAGCTCGCGCGAGCTACTTTTTCTTGTTCTAACATAATCAAATTTCAATAATCCCTTGCAAAAAATAAGGTAAAGTGGACATTCGCGCGCGCAAGACGAAATCCTTCCAGAACCTTAGGTTTCGTAACGATTTCAACATAAAAACATCAAAAACCCAATGGTTTTTCAAAAAAAAATGTCCAAATTTCATCCCGCGCGCGCTGTCCGACTCCCACAAAACCAATGGTTTTTCAACATTTATGTTACATGAGCTCGCGCGAGCTACTTTTTCTTGTTCTAACATAATCAAATTTCAATACTCCCTTGCAAAAAAAAGTAAAGTGGACATTCGCGCGCGCAAGACCAACAAAAAACACGACGATCTCAGGAACTTGCCCCAAAAATGTGACCAACTCCGCTCTCTCTGTCTCTCTCTCTGTCTGCTCTCTGTCTCTCTCTCTGTCTGTCTGTGTCATGTATTGTATGTCACAATTGCAGGATGCTGGGCACACGCGCGCCCCGAATAAGTGACCAAGTTCTGTGGGTGTGTACCCCACGCCAGTGTAGTAGCCACGGTCGTCCGCACGCCACGAAGTGAAGTGTCCCAACGTCATAGGGCGGGAAGCTGGGTTTGGGTGGTCGCGAAGAGTCGTTTGGATATTTGGTAGAGCTTGAACTGCCCCCCCACGAAGTGGGGGTATTGTCTCGCGTCGCATGAAAACCCTGGCACTGGTGAGAACACTGAGCGTTCGGGTAAAATGATTGTTGTTGTTGTTGTTGTTGTTGTTGTTGTTTTTGTTAGTGTTTTTTGTTGTTGTTGTTGTTGTTGCTGTTGCTGTTGTTGTTGTTGTTGTTGTTGTTGTTCTACATACATACAAGGATACATTGAGGGGTGTGAACAGAAGGTGGGCATTGTGCCTGGTTGGCTGCTGGTCGCTGCGGGGAGGGGCTGTATACTTGTGGCGCCCAAAACCCGCATATCGCCGCATTTCAAAGCGCGTGACACATTGCTGGAATCCGCGGCGAGCGAGGGGGGAAATAAGAAGGAGAAGGCGTTCTCAGAAGGCGGCGGGACTTCTCAGAAGCCTTCGCGCCTTCTGAGAAGCTTTTTCTGTCGTCGGGATAGGCCCAGAAAACGTTTCAGAATTTCAGAAGGCCGGGGGGCTTCCGAGCCTTCTGGGAAGGCCCGCCCTTTCTCATTCTCCCCCGGGCTCGCCGCCGATGGAAGACGCTTGCAAGGATGCTGGTAAGGATGCCTGGGGAGCTTGCAAGCTCGATAAAGGAGCTTCGTAGGAACTCCCGGGGAGCTTCGAAGAAGATGCGGAAAGGCTTCCGGCACGCGCATTGGGAACGAGAAGGGAAACTCGCCGCAAAACGGGCCCGGTTCACAGGGGGCGCTGCGACGCTGCTTGACTGGTGCTGGAAAGAGCTGCCGTGTCACCCAGTGCTGCTGGCTTCTAATCTGAAGCCCGGTTAGCTCCCGTACGAGCTATCCTGGGAAGAGAAGCCCAGGGTCTGAATCCCTGGGCTGGTCTGGCCTCGGCTCCCGCTTGGGGCCCAAACGGGCCTGGTTCTCTGGAGCTGGCCCTGCCGCTGCGTGCCTGAGACGCCCGTGGGCGGATGCCTGGAAAGCTTGCAAGCACTAGACAGGGAACTACAGGGGAGCTCGCAAGCTCTGGAAACGGGGCTTCGCAGGAGCTCTCAAGGAGCTACGAGAGAGCAATCGGAGAAGCTGTCGGCACGCGTGTTGGGAACGAGTACGAGAACGCCTACCAGGACAGGCTGCAACCTCAAGCAACCCGCTGCGAAGATGCCTGCCCAGGAGCCTTGGCGTAGCCCTGCTTGCTGGCTTCTCATCTCGAACCTTCTGAGCTCTCCAAGGAGCTATCTGGGAATTTATGGGGAACAGTGATAAACCTTTTTCCGAAGGTGACGAAAAGGGTTGGAGGAGGAATCGCTACAAGCCAGTCATGCCCGGACTATGAAGGTGGGTTGATGGTTGGCTGTCTGGCTAGCTGTCTGGCTGGCTGGCTGGCTGGCTTGCTGACTAGCGGGGCAAATGGACCGGTCGTAGCGGCAGCGGTAACTCGAATAGCAACATCATTGTAATGGCCTCCGGCCAGTGCCGCCGATCCGGGTGGCATTTGGCAAGGGATGGTTCTGTTTCGTCTGCCTTGCATTTAGCAATGCGAAAACGTGAACGTGTCTTCGTTGTCTTAGTGTACGCCTTGGTGTCTCATGAACCGTTTCCCGTTGTCTTTGCTGGTTTCATGATTCTTCTTTCTCTTCTTCCTTTGCCAGTTGAACTGTTCACGCTTTGCGGATCCCCACCAGCTCATCCTAAAACAGCCTGCTCGAGCACAGGAGGACGAGGAGGAGGAGGAGGAAGAGGAGGAGGAGGAGGAGGAGGAGGAAGTGGAAGCTGATGATGATGATGATGATGATGATGATGATGATGATGATGATGATGATGATGATGATGATGATGATGATGATGATGATGACGATGACGGTGACGTTTACGATTCTGTAGTGGCCTTCAGCCAATGCCGCCACCGTGCCTGGGTGGTATCGGAGGGCTCTTCAGTGTTCGTTGGGATCTTGTGGTAGGTCTCACGGGGCCCTCATGGGTACACGTTTGAGGCATCCTGGGAGCCGTTGCGGGGACCCTCGGGGCCTCTTCTGGGCCTCTTGGAGGCCTCTTCTGGGCCTCTTGGGTCCTGCGAGGGGCCTCTTGGGGGCCTCCTGGGGGCCTCCTGGGGGCCGGTGGGGGCCTCTTGGGGGCTTCTGGAGGCCGATGGCTCGAAGTTTCTGTTCGAGTTCCCCGTCTGGTTCCCCTCTTGGAGCCGTCTTGGGAGCCTCTGGGGCCTTCTTGGGGGTTTCTTGGGCAGTCTTGGGGCTCTCTTGGGTCGTCTTTGGGCCATTTTGAGGGCCTCTTGGGCCGTCTTGGGGCGATCTTGGGTGCCTCTGGGGCCGTCTTGAAGCGTCGGGAAGCCGAAAAGGCGGGAAGGCCAAACTTCTTCCCAAACCATCGTAAACATTCTGATGTTGGCCTTTAAGGGTCCTATTCTCGGGGCTCTTGGAGGCTTCTTGGAGCGCCTCGGCGGTCTCTTGGGCCGTCTGGAGGTCATCCTCGGCGTCTTGGAGCGCTCTTTGGACGTCTCGGGGGCTTCTGGGGCCGTCTTTGGGGGTCTTGGGGCCCTCTTGGCCCGCCTTGGGGCCTGCGCTGGCCCGGAAAAGCCCCCCGCACCACAATTCGCCCGGCCCCCCTCCCCTTCCCCTGCAGAGCAAGGGCTCCCCCGAGGGCGCGAAGTTATTCGCGCTTCGCGCTTCGCGGTCCTCGATCCTTCTCCCCCTCCTCCTCGTCCTCCTGTTCTCCCTTTGGGGGGGCGGCGCGGGAGCGCGAAGTTATTCGCGCTTCGCGCTTCGCGGAGCGCGAAGCGCGAAGTTGGGAGCCCTAGCAGAGCCCCCCCGGCCCCCCCCCAGCAGAGCTGAAGCTCAGGCTCTAGGCTGTGGGCTGTAGCTGAGACTGCTTTACACTCACACGCCGGGTCGGCGGATTTGTTTTTTTTTCCCGAGCGTTGTTGCAAGCCTCAGTTCTCCTGGCGCGATGTAGTTGTCCTGTCTGGTTGAATTCCCAATTCTTTTGGCGCATCATGTGTTCGGATGCAACTCCTGGGAGGGAAAATTCAGAATCGGCGCTTGTACACCCCCCAGTAGTCGAAGACAGGCCTAGGGTCCCGCTTGAGTGGGCTTGGTCCGCTTGATCCAGCCTAGTGCCAAGCTTAGTCTGGCCTAGTTTGGCTTAGTGGCCCCCTAATCGTAGGAGAACGAACAATGACATAAACATAAAAACTCGGTCCGCGCGGATTTATCGGATCGGCGCTGCCAGGGGGGTCCAGCGCCGATCCGAGAAATCCTCGCGGACCTCCGAGTCCCACCAGCCCTCTGGGCGTCGGTGGTTTAGGGCGTTTCCTCTTCCACCCCTCCCTCTTCCCCTTCGGGGAGGGGTTTACCCCTCCCCCTACCCCCTCCCCACTGACCTGGACAGGAGGGGCGGGGAGCGGTCAGAGCGTCCAAAACAGCCTCGGCGAGGAAGCCAAAATCATTGATTTTAGCAGGATTTTGGCCCCATTTTGGCCTCCTGGGGGGGCAGCGCTAATTAAAGCTCAGCTCTTCTTTGATAGATCTCCTCCAAGATGGCACAAAGAAGCGCCCAGGAGGCCCCAAGAGGTCCCAAGATGGCCCCAAGATGGCCCCAAGAGGCCCCCAAGAGGCCCCCAGAAGGCCCCCAAGAAGACCCTCAGAGGCCCCAAGAGGCCCCCCCCCCGAGGCACCCAAGACCCCGAAGAGCCCCCCAGGA